TTCCACGGCAGCTGGTGTTATTGAGAAGCCCCTCTGTGTCCATGACTATAACCTTAACATGGGAGGAGTGGACTTCAACGGCCAGATGTTTATATCCACAGCAATTTGAAATTGGGGATTTAAGTGTACCTCCCAAGGTATGACACAAAAAAAGAGTATCAATACATAAAAAACATTTACATGATACATGAAAATTTTTTATTATAGCCATGTACATATATCACAATCATTATAAAAACTACAAATCTTAAAAATTTGTGAATATTACTTCTCTTTGAGTATAACCATATATCTATTCCTAAGATCCTATGCTTATGTGGCCGACGCGTTTCATGGAGAACCACTTCCTCAGGGCCTTGGATCTTGTTATATAAAGACTAGAACAAATTATACATAATTATACAACAATCACAGCACTGTAAACGATCATAGCCACCAATTTTGTAACATAGAACGCCAGTTGGTAAGTACCCACCCTGAATTGTGGAGTAAAATCAGAAAGGTCAAAGAGAAATGAGGAGGTGGTCTCAGGGAGGGATTATTTGGGACACTCACACTATATATACTCACATGGAAGAAAAATATATTTGAAATATATTTTTAAAAATATTCTTCGCAAATATATTGCCAAATATTTGAAATGCTATAATTTTGGCCATATTCAATATTATTTAAAAAAAATATTTATATATATATATATATATATATATACAGTGAAGAAAATAAGTATTTGATCCCCTGCTGATTTTGAATGTTTGCCCACTCACAAAGAATTGGTCAGTCTAAAATTGAATGGTAGGTATACTGTGACACTGAGAGACAGAATAGCAACAAAAAAATCAAAAGAAATGCATGTCTAACAAATTATGCACTGATTTGCATGTTCATGAGGGGAAAAAAGTATTTGATCCCCTTCACAAAAACATGACTTAGTACTTGGTGGCAAATCCCTTGCTGGCAATCATAGAGGTCAGACGTTTCCTGTAGTTGGCCACCAGGTTTGCATACATCTCAGGAGGGATATTGGCCTACTCCTCTTGGCAGATCTTCTCCAAGTCATTAAGGTTTGGTGGCTGATGTTTAGCAATTCGAACTTTCAGCTCCCTCCACAGATTTTCAATCGGATTAAGGTCTGGAGACTGGCTAGGCCACTCCAAGACCTTAATGTGCTTCTTCTTGAGCCACTCCTTTGTTGTCTTGGCCGTGTGTTTTGGGTCATTGTCATGCTGGAACACCCATCCACAACCCATTTTCAATGCCCTGGCTGAGGGAAGAAGGTTTTCACCCAAGATTTGATGGTACATTGCCCCGTCCATCGTCCCTTTGATGCGGTGCAGTTGTCCTATCCTCTTAGCAGAAAAATACCCCAAAGCAGAAAAGTTTCCACCACCATGTTTGACAGTTGGGATGGTGTTCTTGGGGTCATAGGCAGCATTCCTCCTCCTCCAAACACAACGAGATGAGTTGACGCCAAAGAGCTCGATTTTGGTCTCATCTGACCACAACACTTTCAACCAGTCCTCCTCCGCTTCATTCAGATGTTCAGTGGCAAACTTCAGACGGGTCTAGACATGTGCTTTCTTGAACAGAGGGACCTTGTGAGCACTGCAGGATTTCAATCCTTGTCGGCGTAGTGTGTTACCAATTGTTTTCTTGGTGACTGTGGTCCCAGCTGCCTGGAGATCATTGACAAGATCCTCACGTGTAGTTCTGGGATGATTCCTCACTGTTCTCATGATCACTGACATTCTACGTGGTGAGATCTTGCATGCTGCACCAGACCTAGGGAGACTGACAATTGTTTTGTGTTTCTTCCATTTGCGAATGATTGCACCAACTGTTGTCACCTTCTCACCAAGCTTCTTGCCAATAGTTTGGTAGTCCAGTCCAGCCTTGTGTAGGTCTACAATCTTGTCCCTGACATTCTTGGACAGCTCTTTGGTCTTTACTATGGTGGAAAGTTTGGAATATGATTGTTTGATTGCTCTTGTGGACAGGTGTCTTTTATACAGGTAACAAAATGAGATTAGCAGCGCTCCCTTTAAGAGCCTGCTTCTAATCTCAGCTTGTTACCTGTTTGAAAGACACCTGGTAAGCAGAAATCCTGCTGAATGATAGGGGATCAAATACTTATTTCCCTCATGAACATGCAAATCAGTGCATAATGTGTCAGACATGCATTTCTTTTACATTTTTTGTTGCTATTTTGTCTCTCATTGTTACAATACACCTACCATTTGATTTTTAGACTGATCATTTCTTTGTGAGTGTGCAAACATTCAAAATCAGCAGGGGATCAAATACTTATTTCCTTCACTGTGTGTGTGTATATATATATACATTTCAAATATACTGTATGTCTTTAAAAATACAATTCTACATTTTTGAAATGCATTTACAAATATATGTAAAAATATATGTTAAAATTACTTTTTTAAAAATCTGAAGAATATATTTAAAAAAATATATTTTTAAAAATATATTTTTTTAAAATATATTCTTCATATTTTTTAACATATAAAAAAGTCATTTTAACATATATTTTTACATATATTTGTAAATGCATTTCAAAAATGTAGAATTGTATTTTTAAAGACATACAGTATATTTGAAATGTATTTTTAAAAATATTTTTCATATATTTTGTAATAAAAACAAAATGTAACATGCAGTATATATGTATATGTGTGTGTGTGTGTGTGTTATATAAATATATATATATATATATATATATATATATATATATATATATATATATTTATTGAAATATATTGAATATGGGCAAAATTTTAGCATTTCAAATATGTGGCAATATATTTGGGAAGGATATTTTTAAAATATATTTCAAATATATTTACTTCCATATGGGTAGTCCACCATCTGTGGGAGTTTCTCTCTTCACCGCCATTTTGAACATGTGCTTTGTGGGGGCTGATGGTGCAATAACTGGATTTGAATCCAATAAGCTTTGATGACACTATTTTTACTTGCTTTGTAATACTTAAAGCCTAACATCACCATTCTCAGGCTATATTAGGCTTTTTTTTGTCCCTCATGTCCTGGCCAACCAGGTCTCTGCATCAAGGACTGCTTCCGTTGCTACCACACACTAGTAGAGTATTAGTATAGGGTACAGCATGGCACAGTCTAGGGCATATATTTATACAGGGTCTCGAAAGATGTTAGATAGTCAGGAAACTGACTATCGCATTTTGAGAGACCCTAACATTCTGCAAAATTTATAGTTTAAAAAAAAGTTAAAAAAACCATAAAAACATTGTTTTATTGAGTTCCTATTTTAGTGTTACTGTTTTATTATTAACCATTGTTTTCTTTGCAGGAATGCCTTTCAGCTGCAGCACCGATCTGTTTATTCTGACAGCAACAAAGTGTGCTGATGAATATATGTCAGTGTGTGCAGCACTGATGGATGAGATTTTTCTTCCGCAGTTAAAAACATATATGCCCAAGCATGGGGGTTTGGGGTAGCCAGTGGGTGGATCACTTCTATTCTTCAGCATGTATATGTTATCATATTTTTTGGCAAAGATTTCAATAAAAAAGTTGTTGTTTTATTGAGTTACTGTTCTATCGTTACTGTTTTATGTTATCCTGTCAGGGCTCCCGGGTATGACCAGAGGTGTGTGACTGACGCAGGGAAACGCAGACTTCAGATATGTTATAAACAATATAATTTATTAACACTAACAATACAAACATAAACGCAGTGCAATACTAAAACATAACACAGTGCAAACAAACCAAACCAACCACCCACAGATAACAGTACATACAATGCAAGCGTCGTCAGGCAGTCCGGGTCAATATCAATCCGGCAGGTAGGTACAGGGGGAGCAAGCGGAGAATGGTCGGGGTCACAAGCCAGGTTCAGCAGGTAGCGGGCAGAGTGGTACAGAGGGTCAGGCAGAGGGGATGGTCAGGAACGAGCCGGGGTCAGAGCAGGAGAAGTCAGCAGAGGTCCAGATCAGGCAGGGTCAGCGACAAGACAGGAACAGGATACAGGGCCCAGGAAAAACACACACCAAGGCAGAGTCTGCAGGTCTGGCCATCCCTTAAATACACCAGTATAAGCAGTTTCAGGTGTTTGGCTGGCTGCAAGGTTGAGTCTCTGATTGCTGGGAGCACCCGCTGGCCAGCCCTGGTACTGCAGCCCATAAGGCAGGTGAGTCCCACCATTGCTGGCCAGTCCATTCCTGACAGTACCCCCCCCCTCAAGGAGCGGCCTCAGGACGCTCCAAACAGTCCTAGCTGGGCAAAATGTTCCACCGCCCGGGTCTGGTAACTGGCGGGATATCAAAGACTGGCACACCGGGCAGGACTCCGGGCAGTGGCACATTGGGCTGGACTCCGGGCAGAGGCACATCGGGCTGGACCCGGGCAGAGGCACATCGAGCTGGACCCGGGCAGGGCACCGGGCAGAGGCACATCGGGCTGGACTCCGGGCAGAGGCACATCGGGCTGGACTCCGGGCAGAGGCACATCAGATCACCAGGCGAAGCAGCAGGCAGCGGGCCCCCAGGCGGAGCGGCAGGCACCGGGCCCCCAGGCGGGGCGACAGGCATCGGGCCCCCAGGCGGGGCGGCGGGCCGGGCCCCCAGGAGGGGCGGCAGGCATCGGGCCCCCAGGCAGGGCGACGGGCATCGGGCCCCCAGGCGGAGCGGCGGGCACCAGACCCCCAGTCGGAGCGACAGGTCTCGGGCCCCCAGGCGGAGCGGCGGGCGCCGGACCCCCAGGCGGAGCGACGGGCGCCGGACCCCCAGGTGGAGCGACAGGTCTCAGGCCTCCAGGCGGAGTGGCGGGCGCCGGACCCCCCAGGCGGAGCGACAGGGCTCGGGCCCCCAGGCGGAGCGGCGGGCGCCAGACCCCCAGGCGGAGCGACAGGTCTCGGGCCTCCAGGCGGAGCGGCGGGCGCCGGACCCCCAGGCGGAGCGACAGGTCTCGGGCCCCCAGGCGTAGCGGCGGGCGCCGGACCCCCAGGTGGAGCGACAGGTCTTGGGCCCCCAGGCGGAGCGGCGGGCGCCGGATCCCCAGGCGGAGCGGCGGGCGCCGGATCCCCAGGCAGAGCAACAGGTCTCGGGCCCCCAGGCGGAGCGGCGGGCGCTGGACCCCCAGGTGGAGCGACAGGCACCGAGTCACCAGGCACGACAGTGGGCTCCGAGTCAACTGGCATGACCGCTGGCACTGGGTCAGACAATGGATCGTCTGGCTGGACAGCGGGCATCGGGTCACCAGGCATCAGGTCATTTGGCTCAACAGCGGGCACCGCGTCATCTGGCAAGGCAGTGGGCTCCGAGTCAACTGGCATGACCGCGGGCACTGGGTCAGACATTGGATCGTCTGGCTGTACAGCGGGCATCGGGTCACCAGGCATCAGGTCATTTGGCTCGAGAGCGGGCACCGCGTCATCTGGAAAGGCAGTGGGCTCCGAGTCAACTGGCATGACCGCGGGCACTGGGTCAGACATCGGATCGTCTGGCTGGACAGCGGGCACCAGGTCATCAGGTACCGGATTGTCTGGCTCGACAGCGGGCATCGGGTCACCAGGTATGACAGTGGGCACTGGGTCACCAGGCATCAGGTCATTTGGCTCGCCAGCGGGCACCGCGTCATCTGGCAAGGCAGTGGGCACCGAGTCATCAGGCACGACAGCGGGCTCTGAGTCAATTGGCATGACAGCGGGCACCGGATCAGGTACCGGATCGTCTGGATCAACAGCGGGCATCGAGTCAACTGGCCTAATAGGATCATCAGGCTGGATCAGTTCATCATGCTGGGTAGAGGCATCAGGCTGAGTAGAGGCATCAGGCTGAGTGTAGGCTTCAGGCTGAGTGTAGGCTTCAGGCTGAGTAGAGGCTTCAGGCTGAGTAGAGGCATCAGGCTGAGTAGAGGCATCAGGCTGAGTAGAGGCATCAGTAGAGGCATCAGGCTGGGTAGAGGCATCAGGCTGGGTAGAGCATCAGGCTGGGTAGAGGCATCAGGCTGGGTAGAGGCATCAGGCTGAATAGAGGCATCAGGCTGGGTAGAGGCATCAGGCTGGGTACAGGCATCAGGCTGGGTACAGACCTCAGGCTGAAGTGCGGGTGCCGAGGCACCAGGCTGAACCACGGAAGGCAGGTTCTCAGACGGCAGGCTCACCGGTTTGGATACTGGCAGGATGGTACTGGTTGGAAAGAATTTTCGCTTTTTTCTGGTTTTAACTACTGGAGCACTGCAAGTAAATGCAGGTCTGCAAACGAATGGAGCAGCTTGAGACAAAGAAGAGCTGGAGGATGGAACAGGGGAGGGAACAGTTGCTACAGAGGGCTTTTTTACAGGGTTAAAGGCAGGATAGGTGCAGCGAGTGGGAACAGGGTACTGACATGCGGTAGATAGCAGGGCAGGAGGAGCTGTTGGGAATGCAGGAATAGAGCTTTGAGGAAATAGATTAGAAGCAGGACTGGGTTTTTGCAAGCTGACTGAGGCTGGGTGCAACAAATCTGTCCATGTCTGCAGTATGGGTTGAACAAAGCTGAGCTTACACAAAGCCTGTCTGACCAAAGACTGCACTGCGTTTATACAATCCCTTAATACCTGTGGTGAACATGCAGAATAACGCTCCAGAAAGTAATCCACATCATCCTCTAATAACCATACCAGGGACTCTACCTGGTCTGCACTAAATGGCGGCAAAAATTCATCCCTGCATTCGGGGGGTACCAGATGAAACCAACTCCGCACAAACCTGAATCAATGGCTGCACCTCAGAGAATTCTGTGCCCTGATCTACTAGAACATGAGCGAGCCGTATACATTCTAGCAGTTCATCCCTGGGATACTCCTTCAGAGTCTGATAAGCATATTCTCTGTCATCAAACACTAGCAGATATAAATACACAACCTCATCAAGATCCATCCTTCCCATCAACAAACCAAGATGGCTTCCCTGTGCAGCCACTTCTGGTCAGGATTGGCCTTGGTGTAATGTCAGGGCTCCCGGGTATGACCAGAGGTGTGTGACTGACGCAGGGAAACGCAGACTTCAGATATGTTATAAACAATATAATTTATTAACACTAAGAATACAAACATAAACGCAGTGCAATACTAAAACATAACACAGAGCAAACAAACCAAACCAACCACCCACAGATAACAGTACATACAATGCAAGCGTCGTCAGGCAGGCCGGGTCAATATCAATCGGGCAGGTAGGTACAGGGGGAGCAAGCGGAGAATGGTCGGGATCACAAGCCAGGTTCAGCAGGTAGCGGGCAGAGTGGTACAGAGGGTCAGGCAGAGGGATGGTCAGGAACGAGCCGGGGTCAGAGCAGGAGAAGTCAGCAGAGGTCCAGATCAGGCAGGGTCAGCAACAAGACAGGAACAGGATGCAGGAACAGGATACAGGGCCCAGGAAAAACACACACCAAGGCAGAGTCTGCAGGTCTGGCCATCCCTTAAATACACCAGTATAAGCAGTTTCAGGTGTTTGGCTGGCTGCAAGGTTGAGTCTCTGATTGCTGGGGAGCACCCGCTGGCCAGCCCTGGTACTGCAGCCCATAAGGCAGGTGAGTCCCACCATTGCTGGCCAGTCCATTCCTGACATAACCATTGTTGTTTTTGTTGCAGGAACACCATTCAGCTGCAGCACTGATCTGTTTATTCTGAGAGCAACAGGGTGTGCTCTCAGAATATACATCAGTGCATGCAGTGCTGTTGGATGAGATTTCTCATCCACAGTAAAAAAAAGAACATATGTGCCCAAGATGGGGGCCTGTGGTGGTCAGTGGGTGGATCGTTCCAATGCTTCGGCATATATTTAAAAACAAATTGGCAGAGATTTCTTCATCTACATCGATTGATGTGAATAGAGGAATCCGTTCTTTTCTTTTGGTTCAGCTCACAGGCTGAATTTAAAAAAATAGAAAGTTTCATGGATGCCCAACATTTATATATCTTGATGTTGGACATACCACACACTTTTTCTGGAAGAGATTTCCTCTCTTTTTTTCATTCAGTCCACAAGCTGCATAAAAAAAGAACATAACATATATGCAGGCATCATCCTGCATATATATTTCAGCCGGTGGTCGGCTTTCATGAAAAAGCAATCCTAGCTTTTTTAAACCCAGCCAATTAGCCGCAGAATTGCTTTTACAAGCAGCGGGAGAAGATGCCCCCCCCCCAGCTGCCTTTCACGACTTTCTCAGGCAGTCCCGTCCCATCGGGCAAACTGAGAATGGAGATGGCGTTTCCGCCAGCTGACCACAGAGCTGATTGGAGACCATAAACCGCAAGCTACGAGCATTTCATCGCTTCTGTTTCACCGGATATAAACAGCGCCATTTTTAAATTGGGAAAGCATCTGATAACGCCGATCTTGGTGAGAGCAGATCATTTACGGGCAGAGGAGATATCTAGAGTCTAACAGACCCCATATTTCTCAGAAAAGAGTACCTGTCACTGCTTTCTGCTATTACAGGGGATATTTACATTCCCTATGATAACAATAAAAGTGACCCCATAAAAAATGAAAGGGACAGTGTAAAAAAAATATTAAAGCACCCTCGCCCCCCCCCCCCACGCTCGCACGCAACTGCATTACATACCAACAAGGAGCATTGGCCCCTTGTTGGTATGTAATCGGCGGTTTCACCATGCATGTGAGGTTTTGTCATGAACGTAAGATTGAAGGCAGTAATTCTAGCACTAGAAATCTGTAAATCTAAAGTGGTAGCCTGTAAAGTCTTTTAAAGCGTCGCCTATGGATATTAAAAATGTATGTAGTTCGTCGTCGTTGCACTAGGTGTGCCCAGTTTTAAAGCACGTCATGTTGGTTATCTATTTACCCGGCATAACATCATTGTTTATATACAAAATTGGCCAAGATATTGTGTATTTCTGCATTAAAATTTAAAAAACTGTATTTTTTAAAAAAAAAATTGCTGCGCTGTTGCAACACCCAAAATTTTATTCTATAGGGTGTCTGCTTTACAAATATATATAATGTTTGGGGGTTCAAAATAATTTTCTAGCAAAAAGTGTCAAAAAGGTTTGGTCTTGGCATAAAATGCCAAGATAACAACCCCCCCTCTCCTCTTTGGAAAGCAGACACCCCAAGCTACTTGCTGAGAGGCATGTTGAGTCAATTGAAGAATTTATTTTTTTCCACAAGTTTTTACAATATGACAGCTGGCTAGGCGGCTAGGTGGCTAGGCTCCCAAAAAGTCTCACACATGTAGTATCCCATACTGGGAGAAGTAGCAGAACTTATTTTGGGATGTGATTCCACCTTTACCCATGGCATGTGTGAGCAATATACTTGTGGTAAAAAATAAAATATTCCATGGATTCAATATGCCTCTCGGCAAATATTCTGGGGTGTCTACTTTCCAAAAAAGGGCATTTGGGGGGGGGGGGGGGGGGTGATTGTGCTATCCTGGATTTTCAGAGCCTCTGAAACTGTGATAGGTAGTGTGGAAGTGAAATACTGAATTTATGTACCATCAGGCTTTCAAAAGGCTCATTGGATTTTGGGCTCCTGTATGCGGCTAGGCTCCCAAAAAGTCTCACACATGTGGTAGCCCCATACTCAGGAGAAGTAGTATAATATATTTTGCAACTTTGTGTATTAAAATAATTTTTTTTTTTGTTATATTCTAAATATGTGTAAAATAAAAATCTCTAATGGACTCAACATGCCTCTCAGAAAATAGCTTAGGGTGTCTACTTTCTGAAAAGGGGTCATTTTAGGGGTGTTTGTACTATCCTGGCATTTTAGCACCTCAAGAAATGTGATGGGCTGTCAGAAAGTAAAAGCTGTGTAAATTCCATTATCTATAGCATAGTTTGTAGATGCTATAACTTTCACACAAATCAATCAATATACAGTTTACCAAAGACATGTATCAAAACACATTTTGGCCTAAATCTATGCCGAAATTTTGAGTTTATTGGATATTTTTCATAACAGAAATGAGAAAATGTTTTTTTTTTTAAAAAAAAATTGTTTATAGCACAAAAAAATATAAAATAAAGGTGATCAAATACCACTAAAAGAAAGCTCTATTTGTGGGATTGCATGATCGCACAATTGTCAGTTAAACTAGCACAGCGCATATAGCAAAAAAATGGTATAGATTGCAGTATCTATACCATAGTTTGTAGCTATAACTTTCAGAAAAATCAATTAATATACACTTTTTGGAATTTTTTTTTTTACCAACGACATGTAGCATGCAGTCTTTTTTTGTTTTTAGTGCAAAAAGTAAAAAACCCAAAGGTGTTCAAATACCACCAAAAAAAAGCTCTATTTGTGTGAAAAAAGGACATAAATTTTGTTTGGATACAGTGTTGCCTGATCGTGCAATTACCAGTAGAAGTAGCACAGTGCCGAATAGCAAAATATGGCCTGGTCAGGAAGAGGGGTAAATCTTCCATAGGGCAAGTGGTTAAGAAAAGACTGTTTGCCTGTTATGTTAAGGTCCACAAGAAAAGCCTCAAAACTTTGCCATGCCTGGTCTGAAGTTATCCAAAAGGGTTGTGTTCAAGTAATGGGCACACTACACAGTCTGCAGCTCAGGTCAGCAAAGCACATTGGGGTATGGAGACAGCTCTGCAGTAGTTAATGCAGTGTGGAGTACAAGCAAGTGGTTGCCAAGGGTAACAGAAGCCTAACAACCAATACAAGCAGCCTTTCATTAAGTGTAGTACCTGTGACAGGTGGGGTGTCATCTAGCAGCAAGGGGGTTGCTTCTGGCACTGTCTGTCTCCCATAGCAATATACACTATATTGCCATAAGTATTGGGACACCTGCCTTTAGACGTACATGCTTTGCTGGGGGGTTTTTTTGCCTTCCTTGGCTGTCCACAAGGTTTAGGAGTGTGTCTATGGGGATGTTTGACCATTCTTCCAGAAGTGCATTTGTGAGGTCAGCCACTGATGTCAGACAAGAAGGCCTGGCTTGCAGTCTCCACTCTAATTCATCCCAAAGGTGTTCTATTGAGTTGAGGTCAGGACTCTGTACAGGCCAGTGAAGTTCCTCCACCCCAAACTCGCTCATCCATGTCTTTATGGACCTTGCTTTGTGCACTGGTGCACAGTCATGTTGGAACAGGAAGGGGCCATCCTCAAATTGTTTCCACAAAGTGTGGAACATGAAATTGTCCAAAATTCCTCCCACTGACACCAATGATGGGGCGCTATTCCTTTCACTGACACCAATGATGCGGCGCTATTCCTCCCACTGACACCAATGAGGGGGCTCTATTCCTCCCACTGCTACCAATAATGGGGTGCTATTCCTCCCACTGACACCAATGAGGGGACACTATACCTCCCACTGATGCCAATGAGGGGATGCTATTCCTCCCCGAGACCAATGATGGGGCACTATACCTCCCACTGACACCAAGGATGGGGCTGCATTCCTCCTACTGACACCAAGGATGGGGCTGCTATTCCTCCCACTGACACCAATGATGGGGCGCTATTCCTCACACTGACATCAATGAGGGGGTGCTATTCCTCACACTGACACCAATGAGGGGGCTGCTATACCTCCCACTGACACCAATGAGGGGGGGTGCTATTCCTCCCACTGACACCAATGAGGGGGCGCTATTCCTCACACTGACATCAATGAGGGGGTGCTATTCCTCACACTGACACCAATGAGGGGGCTGCTATACCTCCCACTGACACCAATGAGGGGGGTGCTATTCCTCCCACTGACACCAATGAGGGGGCGCTATTCCTCACACTGACACCAATGAGGGGGTGCTATTCCTCCCACTGACACCAATGAGGGGGCGCTATTCCTCACACTGACACCAATGAGGGGGCGCTATTCCTCCCACTGACACCAATGATGGGGGGGCGCTATTCCTCACACTGACACCAATGAGGGGGCGCTATTCCTCACACTGACACCAATGATGGGGCGCTATTCCTCACACTGACACCAATGATGGGGCGCTATTCCTCACACTGACACCAATGATGGGGCGCTATTCCTCCCACTGACATCAATGATGGGGCGCTATTCCTCACACTGACACCAATGATGGGGCGCTATTCCTCCCACTGACACCAATGATGGGGCACTATGTAATTTTCCCCACTGATGGTTTCCATCATCAGATATCTAACTGCACATTGACTTTCCTGATCTGAATTGGGGGTCAGTGACTCAGCAAGCATTGAAGCCATGGGCCGAGCACACCAGACAAAGGTATCACATGTACCACAACTGCCTCAGTTCCAGCCGCGCCCCCTTTATAAGCCCTCCGGTCTTCGCATGTTTCGCCCATTGCGGGCGGGCCCGAGAGAGGGATGACTGGGAGGGGTTACCATGGCGGAAGTGACGTGGGCGGGCCGGTTTGAATGTAGGAGAAGGAGGTGGATATGGAGATGAGTTGCGGGCTGTGCCTGGTGTAATTCGAGTTGCAGCTGCTTCCCGTCTCATTAGCCGGGGCCACCGTCACGTAGGGGACACAGAGCCTGGAGGAGGAAGCCGGGGGTGCAGGTAATGTGCTGGAATGTGGGAGACCTGCATGGTATCACCTGACTCCCTGATACTACGAGGAAAGTGGGGTGTCCTAGCGATGGCTACAGTCCACCCCCAGTCTCAGTATACAGGAAAGGGGAGGGTTTGTTATTGCTGTCCGTGTCTCTGCCGGGGACATTTCACCTGGACCAATAGTGAGGGAAGCTCTAACAGGTTGTGTTGTCACAGGAGCAGCTGTCACCACAAGTGTGGTAGATGCTTCTGCTCCTCTGAAAAGCGATCTGAGCCTGTCTGATAGGCATTAGGTCACCTGATCATTGCCTGATTTAACCCAATACTTGCCATACTGCAGCACCGCAATCACATTTATAGCATGGTCCCCATAGAAGTGCATTACTTGTGAAAGAGACATGCTTTTTAAAGCTGAACTATACTCGCCTTCGCAACAGCGATGCGGCATCCTGGAGCTCCCCACCAGCCACTGACATTTTCTAGGCAACCAGCTCCCTGGTCTTGTTTGCCAGCCAATCTCATTGCTCAGGCCAAGATGATGTCACTCCTGCGGCTTTGCTGAATTTGTGCGATGAATTGCGTGTGCGCAGCTTACTGTACAGGGGCGGGCAGGCAAGTAACTTTCACGCAGAAGAGACAAAGCATGACTTTTCTGCATTCAGAATCCTGCCTGTCTACTCATTTTTAGTTCTTAGCACACAGATCCAATTTAACCTCCCTGGCAGTCTGATTATGCCAATATTTTTAATGTCAAATCGGTACATTGTTTTGTATGGAAATGTGTTGTTTTATATTGTAGACCTGTAATTCTTAGGAATAGTTCACTTAAATCTGTCCAGTAAACATCCTGGGTATGATAAAGTTTGAAACACGAAATCATAAATTATAGTATAAAAAAATAATATAATACATTTAATTCAATAATGAAATCAAACCAAAACACTGAAATTTGTCCAAACAAGCCTGCAATATTACTAGACACTGCATATTGGTTCAGTAAACATCCCGGGTATGAAAAATTTTAAAACGTGGGACTGCGCAAAGTCCGGCGTCACAATCACGACAAAAAAAGTGCAGGCAGTGCACTGGACAAAGCACAAGGGACAAAACTGAGGTGAAATGGTTTGATACAGTAATGTAATCCTATCAGATTACAATGTATTGTGTGTGTTATGTTTCTACTTTTTTGAATCTCCTGCCGGTTCCGCTCTGCGTTGTGGCGCTTGCAGGGAAGGGAACCCAGAAGACTGATGCCGGCATCGGTTGGAGGACATCGGGGGATCGCAGAGACAAGGTAAGTTACACTACAGTTTAATCCTGAGTATGGCTCGGGGTTACTTCTTTTAGTAATGAAAATTAACCCAGAGGCACGCTCGGGATTACCACAAGGGAGGTTAAAGGAGAAGTACAGGCAAAGCTCTTTGTTCTGTACTCCTATGACCTGTTTTCAGCAGACAGCGGGCTAAAGTCTGCTGTCAGCTGACACCACTCAGCCTGTTCAGGTTGGGAAAAGATCCTGACTTTTAGGGCCAGTTCACATTACATGCATTTCAGTTCTTTTTTTTTTTTTTTTTTTTTTTCCTGCATTCAAAATGTACAGAAAGTAGGTTATATGGTTGTCGATGTCATAGTTCACATCAGTGCTTGCAGTTCCAGTGCGTTCCGTTTGTAGAAAAAAAGTAGAACAGGCTGCATTTTTCCTGCACAGAACTCTACTGGAACGTGGTGGAAAGCACCAAAAATGCACTGGAATGAAAATGTTCCTATTTAAATTGAAGAAAAATGAACTGGAATGCATAAAAAAAATGCCCTTGAACACATCAAAAATGCGTATGGAGAAACACATACAAAATGCATCTGGACTGCATTTCTGTAGTGTGAACCGGCCCTTAGAGCAAGTGCACACTAGATGCAGTCCAGTGCGTTTTCTTTCTGTATTAAAAATGCATGCACAGTGTTTTCCATGTGTTCCAATGGCTCTAGTTCAGACTAGTGCAGTCAGTTTCCAGTGCAGAAAAAAATTAGAACATACTGCATACAGTAGAACTGTACTGCATTTTCTTTCTGCACAGGACTGTGCTGGAACATGGCAAACAGCATCAAAACTTCACCGGAATGGAGTGTTGCATGAACCATAAGTAAAAATGTATCCGGAATGCATCTGGAGTGCATTTTTGTGGTGTGAACTGGCCCTCAAGTCAAGATCCATTCAGATGTCTGGACTGGAACCTGGCTCAGCCTGTCAGTGATCCGCTGAGAGGCTGAGCCAAGTGCTCCCTTTCTCTCCTCAGCCCAGCGCTCCAGTAAGTGCTGGGGGGGGCGGCAGAGCGAACAGCGGTGTCTGATCTTTCAGTTCTCACCCTTAGAGCCGGTGGGGGGACGGTGTCAGCATGGGATTGATGCTGCATCCACCAAGTTAAATATGATTTTTAAAAAAAACCCACACCCATACTTTTTGTTGGCCTCGCATAGCAGCAGCAACATGTGTACAGCTGTATGTTAGTTTTACCTCCCCCCAACCTTTCTGAACAATAACACAGCTGTACACATGTTGCTGGGTGGTGTCCTTTTTAGAGGCTGTCGCTGTTGTGTGGACTCACAACACTTGTTTTGTGGTTGCGGTGCATTAGTTTCATAAAAAATCATCATTTGGCATAAAAAAAAAAAATATTCAGGAGGCAGCAGTATCCTTATGTGAATTCCTGGGAACTGCTGCTTTACTATCCCCTGAAAAGTGACCTGTGCTTTTCAGAGCCTGCTGCTGTTGTGTGAACTCAGAGGTAGGGCTCATTCACATGCGAAGTTGAGAGGCTGTAAAACCAGATAGTTGAGCTAGTTTTACCACATACACCCCCCCCCCCCCCCCCACCCCCAACCTGCCTGAACACTGTGGCTGAACTACCTGGTTTTACAGCCTCCCAACTTCGCATGTGAATGAGCCCTAAGGCTGAGTTCACACAGCAGCTGCCTCATTTTTTTTAATGCCAAATAATCTTACGTGGAACTAATGCACCATAATCACAAAACAAGTGTTTTTGGCTTGTGGTTGAGGCATGGTCTTGCTTACTTCGGATGAATTTAGACAGGCAGTGCACACCTGTCATACTCGATAAACTGAGTTAAATGTGTTGAAAAGCTAACCATCACAGCCATGACATGTGTACAACGACTTCCAGCTGGTTTGTTGGGCTTTTGGCAGGCAGTCGGGCGCTGTAACACACGTGTGAAACTGCCCATTTTTTACTGTCTGTGTGAACAAGGCTTAAAGGATACGTTCACATTTCGGACAAAAATATTAAATGCACATTTTTTTGCATGTAAAAAAATGTACATTTATTATTGTCCAAAGGAGCCTGGAAAGCATTGCACTAGCGATCAGTAGATCACTGATGCCATGCAGGTCTCCTGCAGACCTGTCATATCTTCTTGCCGTACGGGATGTACGAGTAAGCAGATATTCTGACAGGAAGCTTCAATCAACAACCACGGCACTCCACAGCGTCGTCGTAGTTAATTGAAAACTACAATCTCACAGCTGCTAAGGCTGTCGGGACTTGTAGGCATTTATTCACAGAACACTGAGTGACACGGCCATGTGGGCGGAGCCCCTCACGGCCACACTGTTATCAAATCTGACAGTACGGGAAACTTCTTCCCTTACTATCTGTCAGAGGGGGCGGTGGGCATGGCTGTGGCTATGGGAATGTGTTTCATGTTCATCCATAAAAACGGATGGAACATAGAACATGTTCCAAAGATGAACTTATCCTTTAAGGCTAGGTTCACACCCATGCAGGTTGCGTTTGAGCCCTTTCTGCATTGAGTTTTTTACCACATTTTGCATTTATTTATTTATTTTTCAATTCTTTATTTGTTTTTTTTTTTGTTTCTTGTGGCAGATTTAAAACGCAATACATGCTTTTCTGCAGCATTTCTATTGAAGTCTATAGAACCAAAAATGCAACTTTTTGCATTCAAAAAAGTCCCTGACCCTTTCCAAAAAAAACGCACTGGGTGAAAACGGGCAGATGTGCACATGCCCCATAGGAAATCACGTTAAATGGACTGTACTGCGTTTCTACAAAACGCAGCATAAAACGCTTAGGTGTGAACCTAGGGTAAGAGGATTTCCCTTCTTTTGGAGAGATCTCCCTTACTTTTTCTATTTTTTTTTTTTTTTTTTTTCATCGTAGAGAAAGTGAAAATAATTCTCCCCAATAAGACATGGACAGTAAAAAACCCCAAAAGCCTGAGAGAAGTTTCAACCATCCTGTTCTCTCTTCAAAACTAAAAAAAATTTTTGGCTTTGAATATAAAGTGTAAGGGCTCATTCACACTTTGTGGTAACATGCAGCAGTGCAATTCAGTGCCATTGTTCTGAATGCAATGTCAACATACCTTGCTAATAAATGCGATATTGCAAATGTTGGAATTTTCCAATACTTGCTGTCCATGGAACATGGTAGGAAGTGAGTGGATTTCACCTTAAAGTGAGGGGGGTCACACAAAGCGTCCGTTTGGTGCCACCTGGCTATTTTTTAGGTAGACCTGATGGGACTCTCCATTCTTCCCTATGGACCAGCGGGTGTAAACAGACTTGTGGCCATTTACACATGCCTACTTCCAATCTGGTCTGCTAAAAAAAAAACCAAAACATAGGAAGGGAATCCTTCTGTCTAGAGTCGGCTTGAAGGGTAGATGGGTGTAAATGGACAGCAGAGTCCTTTTACACCCAGCTGCCCATAGAACAGAGGGGGACTCTATCTGTGTTTGCTCTGCATAAACTAAGCAGGCACAGTTGACTCATCTACCCGCTCTACTCTGATCAGCTGGGAATTAGCAGTCAGATTCCCTGGTGATCTAAATTGAGTCCACCCCTTGTGGAAGGGGCTTTAGACTGCATTCCCACTGTAGTCTCTATAGTATAGTTTCGTGAACACACATCAAAAATGCATGCCGTGCTTGTGGTTCCATTCATTGTTCATAGAACCTTAGTGGTGGCAAAA